AACGCCCGCTCGATTTCAGCATCGACCTCCCACACAACCAGTGCCACTAGACAAGATGCCGGTAGTATGGGAGTAGGCTCAACGGACCTCTCCTCCGTGTCATACCGCCGGGACAGCGCATCTGCCTTACCGTTCTGGGACCCAGGGATGTACGTGATTTTAAATACGAACCTGGCGAGAAACATACTCCATCGAGCCTGGCGAGGGTTCAGTCTCCTCGCTGCCCGGATGTACTCCAGGTTCCGATGGTCAGTCAAAATGAGGAAAGGGTGTTGAGCCCCCTCAAGCCAATGCCTCCACACCTTAAGGGCCTGAACTACAGCTAACAGCTCCTTGTCCCCGACGTCATAATTTCGCTCCGCCGGGCTGAGCTTTTTAGAGTAAAAAGCACAGGGGCGGAGTTTAGGTGGCGTGCCGGACCGTTGAGAGAGTACGGCCCCTATACCGGCCTCAGACGCGTCCACCTCGACCTGAAAGGGTAAGGCGGGATCCGGATGCGCCAGCACCGGAGCCGACGTAAACAGGTCCTTCAGTCTCCCAAAAGCCCTGTCCGCCTCAGCTGACCACTGCAGGCGCACCGGACCCCCTTTCAGAAGGGACGTGATGGGAGCTGCCACCTGTCCAAAACCCCGGATAAACCTCCGGTAGTAATTTGCAAAGCCCAAGAACTGCTGCACCTCTTTGACAGTGGTTGGGGTTTGCCAATTACGCACGGCTGACACACGGTCCACCTCCATTTTCACCCCTGACGCGGACAACCGATAACCCAAAAAGGAGGCCGACTCCTGGAAAAACAGACATTTCTCTGCCTTGACATACAGGTCGTGCTCCAACAGCCTCCTCAATATACGACGCACCAGGGCTACATGCTCGGCTCGGGTAGACGAGTACACTAGAATGTCATCAATGTACACGACCACCCCTTGCCCCTGCATATCCCGGAAAATCTCATCCACGAAGGATTGGAAGACTGATGGAGCATTCATCAACCCGTATGGCATGACGAGATACTCGAAATGACCCGAAGTGGTACTAAACGCTGTTTTCCATTCGTCGCCCTTCCTAATGCACACCAAGTTATACGCGCTCCTGAGATCCAGTTTTGTGAAAAACCGCGCTCCGTGCAATGACTCCGTCATGGTCGCTATCAGAGGGAGTGGATAACTGTATTTCACAGTAATCTGATTGAGACCACGGTAATCAATGCACGGGCGCAACCCTCCATCTTTTTTCTTCACAAAAAAGAAGCTCGAGGACGCAGGAGAAGTGGAGGGCCGTATGTATCCCTGTCTCAAAGATTCGGCTATGTAAGTCTCCATAGCTTTTCTCTCCTCTTGCGACAAAGGATACACGTGGCTCCGTGGGAGCGCTGCTCCTGCCTGGAGGTCTATCGCACAATCCCCCTGTCTGTGAGGAGGCAACTGCGTCGCCCTAGCTTTACTAAACACAATAGCCAAATCCCCATATTCAGGCGGAATGTGCAGTGCGGGCACTTGGTTTGGACTTTCCACCGAAGTCGCCCCCACGGAAACACCCAGACATCGCCCCTCACACTGAGCAGACCACCCATTGAGAGCTCTCTGTTGCCACGAAATGGCAGGGTTATGGGTACTTAACCAGGGAATTCCCAGCACCACCGGGTACACAGGAGAGTCGATCAGATATAGCTGTATAGTCTCCTCATGACCCCCCTGCGCACACATCCTAAGTGGCGCTGTGATTTCCCTAATCAACCCCGACCCCAACGGGCGGCTATCTAAAGCATGAACGGGAAAAGGCTTGTCAACAGGCAGGAGGGGAATCCCTAAATCTAAACAAAACTTCAGATCAACAAAATTCCCAGCTGCGCCTGAATCTACTAGTGCCTTATGCTGGGAATGAGGTGCAACCTGTGGAAAACGAACAGGTATACAAAAGTGCACAACAGAGAGCTCTGGGTAAGTGGGGCGTCTACTCACCTGGGAAGGCTCCCCAGTGCGTGGCCTGTTGTCTCCTCCCTCTGGAGACCCTCCCCAGCACCTGGCCGCAGTGTGCCCTCCACGACCGCAATTGGTGCAGGGGACAGGCCCCCTCGGGCTCCTTCTCCTCCTTTCTCTAGCGCCAGCACCCCCGAGCTCCATAGGGCTCGGCTCGGAGGTGCTGGAGGGTGGAATGGACGGACCCCACTCGGGACGTCCACGGGTGGCCAGCAGGGTGTCCAGACGGATGGACATGTCGACCAACTGGTCGAAGGTGAAATTGGTGTCCCTGCAGGCCAACTCACGTTGAACGTCCTCCCGTAGGCTACATCGAAAATGATCGATGAGGGCCCGTTCATTCCACCCTGCGTCTGCCGCTAGAGTCCGGAACTCCAGTGCGAACGCCTGTGCGCTCCTCCTCCCCTGTCTAAGGTAGAATAGACGCTCCCCCGCCGCTTTGCCCTCAGGTGGATGGTCGAACACGGCCTTGAAGCGACGGGAGAACTCCGCGTAGGAGATGGTGGTGGCGTCTATCCTCCTCCACTCGGCGTTGGCCCATTCCAACGCCTTGCCCGTGAGACAGGAGATGAGGGCGGAAACGCTCTCGTGTCCCGAGGGCACCGGGTTTATAGTGGCCAGGTAGAGCTCCACCTGCAGGAGGAACCCCTGACACCCGGCAGCTGTGCCGTCATACGCCCTCGGGAGCGAGAGCCGAATCCCACTGGGTTCCGGACCTGGGACTGGTGGACCGACCGATGGGGGTGGCAAGGTAGCTTAGTGGTTAAGAGTGTTGTACCAGTAACCGAAAGGTCGCTGGTTCTAATCCCCAAGCCGACTAGGTGAAAAATCTGTCGATGTGCCCTTGAGCAAGGCACTTAACCCTAATTGCTCCTGTAAGTCGCTCTGGATAAGAGCGTCTGCTAAATGACCAATTTATTTATTTATTTATTTATAAGGTAGGTGGAGGTGTGGGTACCCCTCTGGACTCCCATCGGTGCAGGGTGTTGATGACATCCTGTAGAGCGGTCCCCAGTTGTCTGATCTGGTCATCCTGGCCGCGGACATGCTCCTCCAGCGACTCAGGTGCGGCTGTTGCTCCTGCTGATTCCATTATATAAGGTGTGTGATTCTGTCACGGGTGCTGAAGGTGGGTGTAGTGCAGAAATCAAGCGCAGGACGCAGAAACTAAGTCCAAAAGACTTTAGTGAAATATTCACGTAGTACACGAGCTCAACAAGCCCGGAGGCGAAATAAAGGCGCACACAGGCGTCAAACAAAAGGCGCACTAACATGTGCGAAAAAACCTCTCCAAACAACGGAGGGAAACACGTAGCACAGAACACCAAACAGAAGCGCAATCACACACAACACCTGACACACACAACGAGAACTAAATAGGACACTAATGAACACTAACTGGAAACAGGTGTACAACATCAAGACAAAACCAAACGAACATGAAACATACAACGGTGGCAGCTAGTACTCCGGGGACGACGACCGCCGAAGCCTGCCCGAGCAAGGAGGAGGAGCAGCCTCGGCCGAAACCGTGACAAATATTTTCACCCATCAGACTTTTCTTGATTTAATCTTGTCTTTACATATACTTGATTTAATCTTGTCTTTACATATACTAAATAATGTATATGTGAAATTTGTTTTGATTTAGAATGGACCATTATCATGCACCTGTGTCGAAATGGGCAGCTGGAAAAAATACTTGTAATCTATGCACTTAAATAGCGAATGGAGGACGCTTTTCCCCGTGGTTTATTTTCATGCCAGCCAGGTAGGCTATACTCCTGTTGTAAATATAAGCAATGCGATTAATATTAGGAAAGTTGAGAAATAAATATAGTAGGCCTAGCCTATAGAAAGCTGATCCTCCTCTTTTTACTAGAGGCCCAACATGAGCTCATGGGCTCTCATGAAGTGTTTGATTTTCAAAAACATTTGCATTGACGTCAGATGGATTAGAGGGACAATAGAGTGCTGAGTACCAGGCAGTTAGCAAGTTTGGTAGGCTACTGATGACCAGAAGCAGCATCAGAGCTTGGGAAGCCTAATTACCGTGACTAAACGGTCACGTGGAATTTGACTGCCTTCATGACTCGTGACCGCCGGTGTGGCGGTAATGCGGTCACCGCAACAGCCCTAATTGTGGGTTGTAATAAGTAAAAGACGCAGGTGGCAGGTAGCTTAGTGGGTAAGAGCGTTGTGCCAGTAACCGAAAGGTCGCTGGTTCTAATCCCCGAGCCGACTAGGTGAAATATCTGTTGATGTGCCCTTAAGCAAGGCACTTAAACCTAATTGCTCTGGATAAGAGCGTCTGCTAAATGACTAAAATGTAATGTTCCTTAGGCATTTCCCTCTCACACTCATATTCTCTCTTTCGTTTGTATAAATCTGTAATCCTGCCCCTGAGCAAGGCAGTTAACCCACTGTTCCCCGGGCGCCGAAGACGTGGATGCCGATTAAGGCAGCCCCCCGCACCTCTCTGATTCAGAGGGGTTGGGTTAAATGTGGAAGAAACATTTCAGTTGAATGCATTCAGTTGTACAACTGACTAGGTATCCCCCGTTCCTCTCACGCTGTCACACTCTTCTAACTTCATCTCTATTTCCCTCCTCTTTCTCAGCCCATCATAGTCAGTGTTCTGTCTGTCTGTATCTATACCTTGATGGTTAGTGATAGAGAGAGCGTGCTGTACAGTGCTGTGTGGGAGATGGGGTTAGATAGGGAGCATTCTGGCTGGCTGCCGGGGGACAGTGAGTGAGTGAAGAGCACTCAGGCAGAGCTGTAGCCTACAGCACGCAGCTGTGTGTCTTATTATGTAGGCTGTGCATTACCATTGGTGGATGCTTGAGAAACCACCACAGAAACATTAGAAGAATCCGTTAAAACCTATTATCTTAGAGTGTGGCGTCTGGTGACTGTTGGGTTAAAAAGCTCAGATACTGTTAGAGGAATTGTAGCTAAAGCACTAATGTTAGTATACACGTATAACATACAATAGCCATGTAAATGTTTTGTTGTCCCTTGTCTTGGCGTAAGGTGCTGCTGCCATTGTCATCAGATAAACACACAAGGGCAGAAGAAGAAGGACGAGGAAATGAATACCTTGCCCAGTCAGTGGCAGCAGGATTACGACCCTTCATTCTCTCTCCAACCATTCACACCTCAGGGTTAGAGGAGCTGTCCCAGTGATAAACTACCTACTCAGAGCATATAACTTCCAACCTTTCCTTGGGTTCTAGAGTGAAGGAACCCCTCCCTCCCCCCACTCACACACACACACACACACACACACACACACCCAGTCAGGATGAAGCTGAAAGAGGATCTGAACCCGGTGCTGCTGCTGCTCTTCCAGGTGACGGTGTGGCTGTACTCTATCCTAGCCTTCCTCCCCTCTTACCTCTTCAGCTCTGTGTCAGAATCAGACGCAGGCCTCGGCTCAGAACAGGAGAGGGCTCAGAGACTCAAGGCCCAGTCTGTGACGGGTCGCCCCGCGGGGCCCTACAGGGCCATGAGCACCACCAAGAGGCTGGTGTCGTCCCTGCACCCCGGGGTAGACACACTGGATAAGGTGTTTGAGGACGCATCCAGAAGGTTCCCTGACAGAGACTGCCTGGGCACCAGAGAGGTGGTCATGGAGGAGGACGAGAGACAGAGCAACGGAAAGGTCTTCAAGAAGGTGAGGACAGGAAGGACAGCATGAGGACTTTCTGTTGGGCAAGAAACTCAAGTGTGTTTTCTGTTTGTAGTGAAAACACAAGACCTTGATCTGCCAAGTCAGTCTAGCCAAAACAGGAGAGAACAGTCACTCATACAAAACACACCTCTCTTGCCCAACAGAAAGGCCTCACGTCACCTCACACAGCTCACCAACACACAACACACAGGCCAATCTGAACTTTGCTAAAATAAAACACTGTCGCTGTGTGTGTGACTTGTAACACTTTTAATTACACCCCAGTCATAGGCTAATCCCACTAGTCTAATCACAGTACTGTTGAAACTCATGTTGCTGCAATAAAATAATGGTGTGTTTGGCCACCACAATGAGACCTACAGCGACACTGTGTGAATGTGCGGTAGCCTGTGCCAGGTCTGGGTGTGTGCAGTACCAGTGCTATACCAGTAGAGGACAGTATCACCGCTGTTTATTATGAGTGTTGTGATTGAAATTCCAAAAGTTAAAAAGCATCCATTAGCAAAAAAAAATCCTACTGTCATATTACTGAGCAGAAAATGCACAACCACAAGTTGTAGGCTTTACTGTGGATAAAACAAATACTGTGAACTATTCTGCCCTCCTGCATCTCTCCCACACATTCTGTTTTGGAAAACTCTTTCTAAATCTCTCTCCTCTCCTAGCGCGTGGGAGCTCGCTCGCCTAGAGGATCGAGCTCGGGCTCGCCGATAGGTAAGGGCTGCTGCTATGATCTCTCTCTTCTCTCTCTATATCTCCTCTCTCTCTTCTCTCTCTCTCTTCTCTCTCTCTCTCTCTCTCGTCTCTGTATTTCTCTTTCTCCCTCCCTCTCTCTCTAACATCCTGTGTGCTCTCTGTGGCACCCTGTAGGTGATCTTGGGGCAGTACCGCTGGCTGTCCTATGCTGAGACCCACAGTGCAGCAGCCCGCTTTGGCAATGGTCTGGCAGTGCTTGGCCAGAGGGCCCACAACAATATTGCCATCTTCTGTGAGACCAGGGCCGAGTGGGTCATAGCAGCACAGGCCTGCTTCATGCAAAACTTCCCCTGTGAGTGTCCACACACACACAAACACACACACATGCGCGCACACACACACGCGCGCACACACAAACAAACACACACACACGCGCACACACACACAAACACACACACATAGGGTATACATACAGTGCATTGAGAAAGTGTTCAGACCCCTTGACTTTTTCCACATTTTGTTACTTTACAGCCTTATTCTAAAATGGATAAAACATTTAAAATAATCCTCATCAATCTACACACAACACCCCATAATGAAAACAGGTTTATAGAAATGTTTGCAAATTTATATTTTTAAAAACCCAGAAAGATCTTATTTACATAAGTATTCAGAGCCTTTGCTATGAGACTCGAAATTAAGCTCAGGTGCATCCTGTTTTCATTGATCATCCCCTCTGGTCCGTGCTTGTGACGCCATAGCCTCAGCCCTCCTCCTCTCCATAGACTCTTTATTCATCCATCTCTCATTCTTCCTCCTCTCCATAGACACTATTCATCCATCTCTCATTCTTCCTAGTTTCTAATTTCTTCTTAGTTTAGTCTGACTCAACCTGATTGGTTGGCCTTGCCAGGAATTTGTTCGCGGTTGTTTCATAGTTCTAAAACTCAGAACAAAAAGGATGGTTGCAGAGTATAAGCTATTCAATCACCTCATGATTTCATTTTTTTGTTTATAAAAGAAGAGCGTGAACGTGACGGGACCTGACAGTGTGTTAGTATCTCACGGCTGGAGGTGTCACGCCCCGTGTCCTCACACACACAACAGGAAGTCTCAGCCGTCCATGACGCATGGCAGTGATGTCACTGGCCCTGTCCCATAAGCCCCTTCTCTGTCAGCCTGCCCAGGGTCAGGTGACCTCCCCTCTCTCCCTCCGTCCTCCCCCTCTCTCTCCCTCCTCCTCTCTTTGTCCTGTTAGAGCGGGGTCATGAGTGTGGATTTTGGCCCGGGTGTCTTGACCCTTGCAAGCTTCTGGTGTGAACTCTTCACAGCCCAGCGTGAGCACTGCTGCAGCTACTATCCACCACACACACACACACACACACACACACTGACATAAATACACACACGTACACACATACACACACGTACACACATACACAGACGTACACATGCATACAAATTCCATAAAAATTCCACCTCATCCCCAAGAGCCAGAGTCTTCATCTGACTGGATGGGAGTCCATGTTGAGCCCACTGATGGTGGGTGTGTAGACACAGAAAGAGAGCACTTACCCCTCATTTTCTCCTCTACTGCCTGAGAATGATGAATGCATGGGGAGCCTGGACCTGGGGGAGCCTGGACATGGGGGAGCCTGGACCTGGGGGGAGCCTGGACCTGGGGGGAGCCTGGACCTGGAGGGAGCCTGGACCTGGGGGAGCCTGGACCTGGGGGAGCCTGGACCTGGGGGGAGCCTTGACCTGGGGGGAGCCTGGACCTGGGGGGAGCCTGGACCTGGGGGGAGCCTGGACCTGGGGGAGCCCGGACCTGGATCCCACTGAGTCCTACTGTCAGTCCTATCTCAGAGCAGATAGGCATATGTACAAATTCCACTGCCTTTACTCTGCTCCTTCATATGAGTTTGTCATCTGTCTGGCCCACAGTATTCCAAGAACCTAAACATCCAACTGCTATCAGGAAAGGCAGTTGTACATTACACTTATCTAGCCAGAGAAACAGACAGGGACTGGTCATGTTTTTCTGGAGAAGAGAAGTGTGTATGTCTGTGTGGAGGAGTGTAGAGGGGATTGGGGATGCTTGCACGTGTACACGTACACACTCACACACCCTCATCTCGGCACGTGCCCCTGGTCCCTGTGGTGAGTGATACCCATCTCTACCAGTCAGACATATAGTAATGTAATGTAGCCTGGGCCCAGCCCAGTTCAGCCTGGTTTAGCCCAGTCCCAGGCCACTCACTCACGCCAGTGACAGAGCCAGAGCAGACATGATGCCATCGCTGCAGCGTTACATTAACACAGCCCTGAAGCAGGATATAATGATCACTAGGGCTGTACCATGTGGCCTCACTCCCAAACAGGATATACTGATCACTAGGGCTGTACCATGTGGCCTCACTCCCAAACAGGATATACTGATCACTAGGGCTGTACCATGTGGCCTCACTCCCAAACAGAATATACTGATCACTAGGGCTGTACCATGTGGCCTCACTCCCAAACAGGATATACTGATCACTAGGGCTGTACCATGTGGCCTCACTCCCAAACAGAATATACTGATCACTAGGGCTGTACCATGTGGCCTCACTCCCAAACAGGATATACTGATCACTAGGGCTGTACCATGTGGCCTCACTCCCAAACAGGATATACTGATCACTAGGGCTGTACCATGTGGCCTCACTCCCAAACAGAATATACTGATCACTAGGGCTGTACCATGTGGCCTCACTCCCAAACATAATATACTGATCACTAGGGCTGTACCATGTGGCCTCACTCCCAAACAGGACCAGAAAATTCACCCCGATCTTAAATCTTACTCTAACTCTATCCATACGATATCTTATCATAAGCAGCATTATCTGATGATACCTCATTGGTCTTACCTTAGTGTGTGTGTGTATGTATGTATGTATGTGTGTGTGTGTGTGTGTTGCAGTGGTCACTCTGTACTCTACCCTGGGGGGTCCGGCCATCACTCACGGTCTGAACGAGACAGAGGTCAGTCACATCATCACCAGCAGAGAGCTACTGGAGACCAGACTCAAAGTGAGAGAACACACACACACACACAAACACACACACACACATCTGAAAATGTGTAGATATGAATTTAGGAGGTAAAGGAAGAAGGGACAGGAAGAGTGTGAAAGAGGAGTTTGTGTGTGGGAGAGAGAGAAGGAGGGGGAGAGGTACTATGCCCACTGTTATCAGTGTGTGATGCAGAGTAGGACCAGAGAGACACAGACCAACACACTGGGTTAGAGACACAGACCAACACACTGGGTTAGAGACACAGACCAACACACTGGGTTAGAGACACAGACCAACACACTGGGTTAGAGACACAGACCAACACACTGGGTTAGAGACACAGACCAACACACTGGGTTAGAGACAGACCAACACACTGGGTTAGAGATACAGACCAACACACTGGGTTAGAGACACAGACCAACACACTGGGTTAGATCACAGACAACACGGTAAGACAGCAACACACTGGTTAGAGACACAGACCAACACATGGGTTAGAGACACAGACCAACACACTGGTTAGACACAGACAACACACTGGGTTAGAGACACAGACCACACACTGGGTTAGAACACAGACCACACACTGGGTTAGATACACAGACACACACTGGGTTAGATACACAGACCAACACCGGGTAGAGACACAGACCAACACACTGGGTTAGAGACACAGACCAACACACTGGGTTAGAGACACAGACCAACACACTGGGTTAGAGACACAGACCAACACACTGGGTTAGAGACACAGACCAACACACTGGGTTAGAGACACAGACCAACACACTGGGTTAGAGACACAGACCAACACACTGGGTTAGAGACACAGACCAACACACTGGGTTAGAGACACAGACCAACACACTGGGTTAGAGACACAGACCAACACACTGGGTTAGAGACACAGACCAACACACTGGGTTAGAGACACAGACCAACACACTGGGTTAGAGACACAGACCAACACACTGGGTTAGAGACACAGACCAACACACTGGGTTAGAGACACAGACCAACACACTGGGTTAGAGACACAGACCAACACACTGGGTTAGAGACACAGACCAACACACTGGGTTAGAGACACAGACCAACCACTGGGTTAGAGACACAGACCAACACACTGGGTTAGAGACACAGACCAACACACTGGGTTAGAGACACCAGACCAACCACACTGGGTTAGAGACACAGACCAACACACTGGGTTAGAGACACAGACCAACCACTGGGTTAGAGACACAGACCAACACACTGGGTTAGAGACACAGACCAACACACTGGGTTAGAGAACACAGACCAACCAACTGGGTTAGAGAACAGACCAACACACTGGGTTAGAGACACAGACCAACACCACTGGGTTAGGATACACAGACCAACACACTGGGTTAGATACACAGACCAACACACTGGGTTAGAGACACAGACCAACACACTGGGTTAGAGACACAGACAACACATGGTTAGAGCCACAGACCAAACACTGGGTTAGAGACACAGACCAACACACTGGGTTAGAGACACAGACCAACACACTGGGTTAGAGACACAGACCAAACACACTGGGTTAGATACACAGACCAACACACTGGGTTAGAGACACAGGACCAACCACACTGGGTTAGAGACACAGACCAACACACTGGGTTAGAGACACGACCAACACACTGGGTTAGAGACACAGACCACACACTGGGTTAGAGACACAGACAACACACTGGGTTAGAGACACAGACCAACACACTGGGTTAGAGACACAGACCAACCCACTGGGTTAGAGACACAGACCAACACACTGGGTTAGAGACACAGACCAACACACTGGGTTAGAGACACAGACCAACACACTGGGTTAGAGACACAGACCAACACACTGGGTTAGAGACACAGACCAACACACTGGGTTAGAGACACAGACCAACACACTGGGTTAGATACACAGACCAACACACTGGGTTAGAGACACAGACCAACACACTGGGTTAGAGACACAGACCAACACACTGGGTTAGAGACACAGACCAACACACTGGGTTAGAGACACAGACCAACACACTGGGTTAGAGACACAGACCAACACACTGGGTTAGAGACACAGACCAACACACTGGGTTAGAGACACAGACCAACACACTGTGTTAGAGACACAGACCAACACACTGGGTTAGAGACACAGACCAACACACTGGGTTAGAGACACAGACCAACACACTGGGTTAGAGACACAGACCAACACACTGGGTTAGATACACAGACCAACACACTGGGTTAGATACACAGACCAACACACTGGGTTAGAGACACAGACCAACACACTGGGTTAGAGACACAGACCAACACACTGGGTTAGAGACACAGACCAACACACTGGGTTAGAGACACAGACCAACACACTGGGTTAGAGACACAGACCAACACACTGGGTTAGAGACACAGACCAACACACTGGGTTAGAGACACAGACCAACACACTGGGTTAGAGACACAGACATACAGTCCATACTCCCTCCTGAGGAGAGAGACATGGTACAGAGCCAGTAAAGCAATATGTATCTGTCAAAACCTCAAAGAATTGACTCACATGTTTAGGTTGTCTAAACATACTGAAGTAGAATGATGTACAAAGTGCATGTGTTTATTTTGCATGTCCACGTGTACGGAAAGGTCAAGCCTTTGAAAACATACTTGAAAATGAACACGTAAACAAAACCACTGTTTGTAGCCAGCAGCCAGTCTGCGACCAGAAGGAATCAGCCAAACCCTATCAGTATGCCCTATCCCTGTCCCGACCAACCATTTGATGGTTATAGTATAGCTGTCTTAAAGACTTCTTTGTGTGTTTCCTGGTTGAGTTTAGTTCATCCTGTTGGAGGTGCCCAGGCTGCAGCACATCATCGTGGTGGATGACACGCCCACCAAGTGGCCCGGTTACCCACGAGGCATCAGTGTCCACAACATGGCCACTGTTCAGGAGCTGGGGACCAAGCCTGAGAATGGTAAACACGTGTGTGTGTGTGCGTGTGGACTCAACATTTCTTTAACGGCATTACACTGAAATGTACAGACATGTATAACATAGTTATGCATTCATTTATTATTTTGTAGGTAATTACTTTTCTGGACAAGGCTGTAGTCACTAGTCAGTGCAGAGTCATCTCTCCTTACAGTATCTCCTGCTAGCTGATAGATACTGTAGTCTCAGAGATACTGTAGTCTCAAAGATAATATAGTCTCAGAGATACTGTAGTCTCAAAGATAATATAGTCTCAGAGATACTGTAGTCTCAGAGAAACTGTAGTCTCCGAGATACTGTAGTCTCAAAGATACTGTAGTCTCAGAGAAACTGTAGTCCGAGATACTGTAGTCTCAAAGATACTGTAGTCTCAGAGATACTGTAGTCTCAGAGATACTGTAGTCTCAAATATACTGTAGTCTCAGAGATACTGTAGTCTCAGAGATACTGTAGTCTCAAAGATACTGTAGTCTCAGAGATACTGTAGTCTCAAAGATACCGTAGTCTCAGAGATACTGTAGTCTCAAAGATACCATAGTCTCAGAGATACTGTAGTCTCAAAGATACTGTAGTCTCAGAGATACTGTAGTCTCAAAGATACCGTAGTCTCAGAGATACTGTAGTCTCAAAGATACTGTAGTCTCAGAGATACTGTAGTCTCAAAGATACTGTAGTCTCAGAGATACTGTAGTCTCAAAGATACCGTAGTCTCAGAGATACTGTAGTCTCAAAGATACTGTAGTCTCAGAGATACCGTAGTCTCAAAGATACCGTAGTCTCAGATATACTGTAGTCTCAGAGATACTGTAGTCTCAGAGATACTGTAGTCTCAGAGATACTGTAGTCTCAAAGATACTGTAGTCTCAGAGATACTGTAGTCTCAAAGATAATGTAGTCTCAGAGATACTGTAGTCTCAAAGATACTGTAGTCTCAGAGATACTGTAGTCTCAAAGATAATATAGTCTCAGAGATACTGTAGTCTCAGAGAAACTGTAGTCTCCGAGATACTGTAGTCTCAAAGATAATATAGTCTCAGAGATACTGTAGTCTCAGCGAAACTGTAGTCCGAGATACTGTAGTCTCAAAGATACTGTAGTCTCAGAGATACTGTAGTCTCAGAGATACTGTAGTCTCAAATATACTGTAGTCTCAGAGATACTGTAGTCTCAGAGATACTGTAGTCTCAAAGATACTGTAGTCTCAGAGATACTGTAGTCTCAGAGATACTGTAGTCTCAGAGATACTGTAGTCTCAGAGATACTGTAGTCTCAAATATACTGTAGTCTCAGAGATACTGTAGTCTCAGAGATACTGTAGTCTCAGAGATACTGTAGTCTCAGAGATACTGTAGTCTCAAAGATACTGTAGTCTCAAAGATACCGTAGTCTCAGATATACTGTAGTCTCAGATATACTGTAGTCTCAGAGATACTGTAGTCTCAAAGATACTGTAGTCTCAAAGGGGGAGGTGGCTCATTAGGTCATGTGAATGAGGAAGTGGACACATCTGTGTCAGATTAAAGCTTGGAGAGGAAATACTCTACCTTTCTCTCCTATTTCCCTTTCTCTCCTATTTTCTCCTTCCCTTCCTCTATCTTTCCATCCCTCCTTTTCTCCGTCTGGTCTCTAGTGCTGCACTGCTTGACCCATAACAAGTAGAGCTGGTACTGTGAAGGGTAGGTGTGTGTGTGTGTGTGTGTGTGTGTGTGTGTGGGTGTGTGTTGCAGTGGTCACTGCTAAAATAGCCTGCTGTGGTCTAGGCCTAAATCAGTGGAAGTGTGTGTGCGTGTTTGTAGGTTTTATTGTTTGTTAGTATTTATCAGTTGAAACTCATGTCAGAAGGACAGAGAGTTACAGAGTGAGTTTGAGCAGCAGGACAATGCTATGAATCAGTGGCTAGGGAAATGAACTAGAAAATGGGCTGCAGGGACAGACATGCCACAGCATTAGCACCAAACCATGCAGGATAGCATATCATCGCTATCTGACCTGTGGGATTAGGAAGGAGGGTCATGTTTATAGACACTTCTGTAAACTTCACATGACATCACTCCACCCCCCCCCCCCCCCCCCCCACCCCTATCTCTGGGTCCATGTTTATGTCAGAACATGGCCCCTCCTCTCGCATGCGGTTGACTCCAAGTCACGTCCCCCTCCTCTCTCCCTCTCCTATCTCCCTCTCTTTTGCTCCCTTCTTTCTCTCTCTGTCTTCTGTTTGGGTTGTGTTTTATTTTTCTGCACCCGCTGGTGACGTCTTGGAAATGTTTATATTCCACACGACACTGAGCAAGCCCCCCCCCCCCCCAGCCCTAAAAAAAACAATAAAAAACACGTCTTCATTTTCCACATGAGGACAACTGAGAGAAAACTGCTGACTGTTGTTTCTTATATAATTTAGAACAGGGATTTATTTTTATTTTTTAGCTCGATAAATTTATAAATTGGCCATCCTCCCGTGACCCAAATCATCCTCCAACAACCCAAATGAAGAAGAAATAGTGTGTGATTGTAGATGTAGTCTTATAACACACCTCTCACATGCCTAGGGCCCACTTTGGGTCCCAACCCATAGTTTAAGAAACCTACATGATCTACATTTGACATTTTAGTCATTTAGCAGACGCTCTCATCCAGACCGACTTACATTTAGTGAGTGCATACATTTTTCACACTGGCCCCCAGTGGAAAACGAACCCACAACCCTGGCGTTGCAAGCGCCATGCTCTACCAACTGAGATCTAGAGTCATCTCACTCCTTTTCACATTGTCAGAATCCACATTGCATGACATAATATAATTTCTGAGTGGCTTTTTGGCAAGCCTAGACAAGAGTAACATGTCTTGGAGAACTTAAGTCCAAACATTTGAAGTGGGCTGACGGGGAGGAGAGGCTTTACTTCAATTGAACAAATCTCAGACAGTTAACACACAGCCAAAACTCAGAGAAGAAAGAGAGCAGAGGAAGAGAGCCGTAGAGAGGGAGAGAGGGAGAGAGAGACATAAAGGAAGAGAGAGAGAGGTAGATGGTGTTATTAGCAGTAACACAGCTCTTAGAAATACTGTATCTTCCTACTGAGAGTACCAAGAGGCTGAAGGACGTTTACTAAATGGTGCCATTGAGTTTAATGTGATTTAATGTTTCATTTGACTGATGTTCCTCTCCCTCTTCATTCCATTAGGAATGTTCCTTTCTTCTTCTCTTTAGATATTCATCATTATGTGTGTTTTATTCCACTTCCTCTACCCCCATCTTGTTTAACGACACCCATATCTTCCCAGGACCTTCGCCTACAGACTTCACATCCTAGACTATATATCCTAACATGGACTTAACAAGCCTCCTCCATTTATTGTCCTGACCTGCACCATATCTTATGATCTCCCATGAACTCCCTTTTCCTACAATATGCTGAATATTTACAAAAACATGCTTTCATGCCATGCCATGAACTAATTTGTTTCCTGTGTGTGTGTGTGTGTGTGTGTGTGTGTGTGTCTCTGTGTGTGTGTGTCTCTGTGTGTGTGTGTGTTTGTGTGTGTGTGTGTTTGTGTGTGTCTGTGTGTGTGTGTGTGTGTGTGTGTGTGTGTGTGTGTGTGTGTGTGTGTGTGTGTGTGTGTGTGTGTGTGTGTATAGTGTCTCGTGGGTGTAAACAGCCCATGCCCTCTGACATCGCTGTCATCATGTACACCAGCGGCTCCACTGGCGTACCCAAGGGCGTCATGATCTCCCATAGCAACATCATCGCTGGCATCACTGGCATGGCAGAAAGGATACCCAACCTGGGGTAAGTACCACAAACCTGCCAACCTTATACCCTCTCTTTACCCTCCTGGGCTTTACATACCATCACCTTCCTCCAGTACCAAACTACTATCGACATTTCCTAATAAGCTGAATTTTCATGAATCATCGAATACCACTTTGAATACTCTAAGAATTTTGACAGTCCAAGCTGGCTTCCAAAGTGCACCTTATCCAGGAAGATGGATAAAATGTTTACACAGCCCTTTTTCAATTGGAGCTGTCTTAGAGGAAGATCCCATAATGTCCTTTCTATGCATTTTTGACTGATCTCAGCTGTCAGTGGGGGAGTACAGTGGGATGGTTATACATAGTAGGTCCCATTTCAACGCTGAATTAAAGAAAACACTCAAAGTGATCTATGAGGACAACTTCCTGATTGGGGCCTTGGTGTCAACTGAGCACGTGCAGAAGTGTGGGTTTAAGGCTGTGCTGTAAACACAAGTAGATACTCTACCATCACACTGGTGATCACCATGACGACATATGCTTTGTGTTCTCACTTTCTCTGGAGAACAGGATTGGGGGAAGAGAGGAAAATGGGAAAAGGAGGATGGGAGAGAGGGGGTCAGGTTGTTACCCTTCAGAGAGCAACATCATCTTGATCTGGCCCAGAAGGACATTTACTGCAGTGCTTTGTGTATTTTGTTGTTTAATTGTGTAAACCTTTCTTATACATATAGTTTTGTCATGCAAGTTTATTGAAATATGATTGTGTACTGTTGGACTGTTGCCTGTCTGTCTGTCTGTCCGTATGCTAGAATAATAATGAGTTATTTATATTGTGCTGTGGCAGTGAGAATGACACCTACATCGGGTACCTCCCCCTGGCCCATGTGTTGGAGCTGAGTGCAGAGCTGGTGTGTGTGGCTCACGGCTGCAGGATCGGATACTCCTCCCCCCAGACACTAGCGGACCAGGTGAGGTGGTCCCCCCCTGCTCTGTATATCACATGCTTGGACTGTACATTACTAAACACATATATAAAAGGTGAATATATGTGTAGAGTACCTGTATCATAACTGTATCCTTTCTCTCACACCAGTCGACAAAGATAAAAACAGGCAGTAAAGGAGACACCAGTGTTCTGCAACCTACTCTTATGGCAGCTGTGCCGGTAAGACGTACATACAGTACTGTACATGTAGGGTTGCTTTCCCAGACACAGACTAAGATCAGTACTGCTGGTCCAGTACAGACAGTTTCCCCTGAAGATAGATAGGAGCCGTGATTGAGAGGAGCTGCGAGAGAAAGAGAGAGAGAGAAACGAGAGAGAGAGAGAGAGAGTAGAGAGAGAGAAGGAGAGAGAGAGAGAGAGAGAAGATAAAAGAGAAGAGGGAGAGAGAGAGCAGAGAAAGAAAAAGAGAGAAAAGAAGAGAGAGCGGTAGAGCGAAGTCGAGTAGAGAAGAAAGCAGAACAAAGAGAAGAAAAGAGAGAGAGAGAAAGAAAAAAAAAGCAGATCTCTCTCTCTCTTCTCTCTCTCTCTCTATCGCTCTCCTCTCTCTCTCTCACTAAACTATGCTCTCTCTCTCTCTCTCTTTATCTCTATCTCTATCCCTCCCCCTCTCTCTCTCTTTCCTGTCACAGTACCCCAAGCCATTCTGTGATTTTATTTCAATGTAGAAAATAGTTGAAATGTTATATACAGGTGTATACAGGTGTGAGTTATTGAGCCTCCCTCACTCTTTCACTACATACTGTGACTCAGTCCCTCACTCTTTCTCTCTTTTTCTCTTACTCTGGTGAGTCATTCAGTCCCTCACTCTTGTCTGTCTCTGTCTCTGTCTCTGTCTCTGTCTCTGTCTCTGTCTCTGTCTCTGTCTCTGTCACTCTCCCTCTCTCTGTGAGACCCCATGCATCTCTTCATCTGTGTGTTCCCCCATGAGGACCCTAGGAGTCAGGGGACACAGGTCAGAGGGCCCCAGTGTCTGGAACCATTCACAGCTGTAAACAGAACGTGAGAAAGCCCTGTGTGGTTTTCCCCGTCATAGACAAACACACACTCCCTCACTCACTCTCACTCTCACTCTCTCTCTCTCTCACACACACACACACACACACACACACACACACACACACACACACCGCTCACAGTGTGTAGTTTCGTCTGTGATACCAGTCTGCATGTGTCCCACATCAACTTCCTATCTCACTACTTTATCTAACATGCACAGAAACACAGACTCTCACACCCACCAGCTGGTTTTTGTTGTTTGTTGTTTGTTGTGCCCTTTACTCCATTAAAACTTGGAGCCCGGTTTTGGAACTCACAAACTCATGACTTTAATAACGAAGTGATCTGGGTTTTAGTGGGGTTGGACAAACTCTCCCTACAGTCACCATGTCGCTAAGAAACAGATAGTGCTAAGTCACACACGCACACACACACGGACATGGTGCCATCTTTAAGATATTATAGCATCAATCCCATAATCTCCTTCAGAGTGGAATCTGAGATCCGAGAACAACTGACTGGACAACTGAATGACTTTAGGCTCCTCTCCTTCTCTCTTTATCAATCTCTCTGGGAGTGATGAGGTCACTGTTTTCCATGCCCACAGGCAGCTAGCAGGGTCGGGCATTCCCATTTTATTGTTTACTGAAACACTGAATGTTTTCATATTGACCAGATTGTTCCCCAATACACCACAGTATATTCTGAATGCTTTAATAGTTGCTGAATCTGTGAGCATCTTTACAGAATTGATTGAATTTAGACCTATCTAAGATATCATCTAGCTAAGACCTCTAATATTGAAATGGTTGGTCTGGGACTTGGTCTTGTTTTCATGCCCAGGACACAGAGTCTCTGCTGGGCAGATACAGAAGAGACACTGGCTGATGTCACCCCCTCCATGTATTATCTCTGTGCTCACATAGCTCCTCAGAACTGGACCTCCAGACAGAGACGTGTCAGGAATCTGCTGTCTGGGCCTGTGACCAAAGCCCCATATTAAGACCGCAGACAGACACAGTGTAAAGCAATGTGCTTTGGCCACATACAGACAGATCCAGAACTTATTGACTCGAACACCACATTCTTCTTATTTCCCCTCCTCTTTCTGTCCCTGTCTCTTGCCTCTCCATCTCCCCCGATTTTCTACCCTCTCTTATAGAGTAACAGTCAAAAGTTTGGACACACCTACTCATTCCAGGGTTTTTCTTTATTTTTACTGTTTTCTACATTGTAGAATAATAGTGAAGCCATCAAAACTATGAAATAACACATATGGAATCATTTTGGTTACTACATGATTCCATATGTGTTATTTCATAGTTGTGATGTCTTAACTATTATTCTACAATGTAAGAAATAGTAAAAAATTAAGAAAGCAAAAAAAAGGTTGGAAAAATTTGGTTTTTTTGATTGTTGGTTTTTTAAGGGGGTAGGTTTTGGGCCAAATTTTGATGGTTGTGATTTTCCTAATGGAAATTGTTAATCCATAAGGTGTGTATATTTCCCTAATGGGACTGTATATCCCCTAATGGTTTGGGGTAACCAAAAAGGTAGGGTAATCCTAAGGGGAAAGGGAGGAAAAAAGGGAAAAGGGCAAAGGGGAGGGGGGAAGGGGGGGGGGGAAAAGGCCGAGGGAAAAAAAGAGGAGGAAGGAAAGGGAAAAAAGGAGGAAAAGAGAAGAGACGGGCCGGGGGAGAAGGGGAAAGCGAGAGAGAGAGGGAACGGGGGTTTGGAGCCAAAATAGGGAAGGGGAAACCCGGGGGGGGGTCTTTTTTCTCTCCTGGGTTTTTCTCTCTCCTCCTTTTCTTCTTCTCTCCTTTCCTCTATCTTTCCTTCTGTGGTGCTAAGGGGGAAAAAGGATCGTATCTATAAGAATGTGATGACCAAGGTGGAGGAGATGAGCAGTGCTCAGAGGACTCTGTTCACTCTGGCCTACAACTACAAGCTGGAGCAGCTCTCCAAAGGACGCAGCACGCCACTGTGTGACAAGTACGTCAGTCATCTACAGTACACACACACACACACAAATCCTTGCATATACACACTATATATATTGCTCATACAAAACCTCATACAAAACAAATAACATAGTGAAGCACAGTTCATCCAGGAAGTGTAAACATGAATTTTCCTTGCAGATTAACTGATCTCCTCCCCCTCCCCTCTACTCCCTCCAGCCTGGTCTTTAAGAAGGTGCGGTCCCTACTGGGGGGGAAGACCAGGGTGCTGCTGTCGGGCGGGGCGCCCCTCTCTGCCGCCACCCAGCGCTTCATGAACGTGTGCTTCTGTTGCCCCGTGGGCCAGGGCTACGGCCTCACCGAGACCTGTGGAGCTGGAACCATCAGCGAGAGTGAGAGAGTGAGAGAGTGAGAGAGTGAGAGAGTGAGAGAGAGAGAGAGGGGGGGGGGGGTTGAGGAAAGGAGGGATACAGAGGGATGGGATAGGGTAGGAGGGAGGAGAGACAGTGGTGGATACAGAGGGATAGGATAGGGTAGGAGGGAGGAGAGACAGTGGTGGATACAGAGGGATAGGATAGGGTAGGAGGGAGGAGAGACAGTGGTGGATACAGAGGGATGGGATAGGGTAGGAGAGAGGAGAGACAGTGGTGGATACAGCGGGATGGGATAGGGTAGGAGAGAGGAGAGACAGTGGTGGATACAGCGGGATGGGATAGGGTAGGAGGGAGGAGAGACAGTGGTGGATACAGAGGGATGGGATAGGGTAGGAGAGAGGAGAGACAGTGGTGGATACAGCGGGATGGGATAGGGTAGGAGGGAGGAGAGACAGTGGTGGATACAGAGGGATGGGATAGGGTAGGAGGGAGGAGAGACAGTGGTGGATACAGAGGGATAGGGTAGGAGGGAGGGAGGGAGGAGAGACAGTGGTGGATACAGCGGGATGGGATAGGGTAGGAGGGAGGAGAGACAGTGGTGGATACAGAGGGATGGGATAGGGTAGGAGGGAGGAGAGACAGTGGTGGATACAGAGGGATAGGGTAGGAGGGAAGGAGGAGAGACAGTGGTGGATACAGCAGGATGGGATAGGGTAGGAGGGAGGAGAGACAGTGGTGGATACAGAGGGATGGGATAGGGTAGAAGGGAGGAGAGACAGTGGTGGATACAGAGGGATGGGATAGGGTAGGAGGGAGGAGAGACAGTGGTGGATACAGAGGGATGGGATAGGGTAGGAGGGAGGAAAGACAGTGGTGGATCAGAGGGATGGGATAGGGTAGGCAAGAGGAGAGACAGTGGTGGATACAGAGGGATGGGATAGGGTAGGAGGGAGGAGAGACAGTGGTGGATACAGAGGGATGGGATAGGGTAGGAGGGAGGAAAGACAGTGGTGGATCAGAGGGATGGGATAGGGTAGGTGAGAGGAGAGACAGTGGTGGATACAGAGGGATGGGATAGGGTAGGAGGGAGGAGAGACAGTGGTGGATACAGCAGGATGGGATAGGGTAGGCGAGAAGAGAGACAGTGGTGGATACAGAGAGATGGGATAGGGTAGGAGAGAGGAGAGACAGTGGTGGATACAGAGGGACGGGATAGGGTAGGAGAGAGGAGAGACAGTGGTGGATACAGCGGGATGGGATAGGGTAGGAGGGAGGAGAGACAGTGGTGGATACAGAGGGATGGGATAGGGTAGGAGGGAGGAGAGACAGTGGTGGATACAGAGGGATAAGGTAGGAGGGAAGGGAGACAGTGGTGGATACAGAGGGATGGGGTAGGAGGGAGGAGAGACAATGTTAGATACAGATGGATGGGGTAGGAGGGAGGAGAGACAGTGGTGGATACAGAGGGTTGGGGTAGGAGGGAGGAGAGACAGTGGTGGATACAGAGGGATGGGATAGGAGGGAGGAGAGACAGTGGTGGATACAGAGGGTTGGGGTAGGAGGGAGGGAGGAGAGACAGTGGTGGATACAGAGGGATGGGGTAGGAGGGAGGAGAGACAGTGGTGGATACAGAGGGTTGGGGTAGGAGGGAGGAGAGACAGTGGTGGATACAGAGGGATGGAGCTGAAGAGAAAGGAAAGGAGAGACAGCAGAGTTCTAAAATCATGGAAATATCCATTAGTTCTCCCCAATGCAGGAAAGAACTGAAGCCAGCAGTGACCCATTGCACAGCACCACTATTAGCTATGGTCCAATGAGAAAGGGTTTCAGTGTTGTCATGCCTTAGGGATGGGAGTGAGAGCAGGGCCTTGGCAGGGTTACCATGGTTGGGTCAGGTTGCCACGGTAACGGATGAGGCGCATTTAGCATAACAGTGCCACTGTGTATTGTACAGTGGTCAGTCACTGCAGCTTGTGATGACGATGTGTATGTGTGTGTGTTCCAGTGTGGGACTACAGTACAGGGCGAGTTGGTGGACCGCTCATTTGTTCTGAAATCAAGCTCAAGGATTGGGTGGAGGGTGAGTAACACAGACAGACAGGGAGGAGGACCCCTGGGTCTCTTTATCCACACACACATATACACACACACACACTTATGAAAACAATGTCATATAGTTTACCAATCCATCCCACATTATTTACACAAATGCCCTAGTCAGTGTGAGAGATGGACAGCGTTTTAGGAGAAAGATCACTCTCTCATATTTCAACTGCATTCAGTTCTCCATGACCTTGTAAGGAAGTCATTCAAAACACAACTCTTTCCTCTGTACAGTTTTCCATCATACATACAGTGCCTTCAGAAAGTATTCACACCTGTTGACTTTTTCAAAATGTTGTTGTTACAAGGTGGGATTCAAATATATTTAACTGTCATTGTGTGTCAATGATCTACACAATGTACTCTGTAATGTCAAAGTGGAAGAAAAATTATAACATTTGTAAAAATAAATTTGGAAAAATAAAACCCTAATATATCTTGATTTCATAAATATTCAAACCCCTGAGTCAATACTTGTTAGAATCACCTTTGGCAGCGATTACAGCTGTGAGTATTTCTGGGTAAGTCTCTAAGAGCTTTGCACACCTGGATTGTACAATATTTGCACATTATTCTTTTTAAAATTATTCAAGCTCTGTAAAGTTGGTTGTTGATCATTGCTAGACAGACATTTTCAAGTCTTGACATAGATTATCAAGCCGATTTTAAGTCAAAACTGTAACTAGGCCACTCAGGAACATTCAATGTCGTCTAGGTAAGCAACTCCAGTGTATTTTTGGCCTTGTGTTTTAGGTTATTGTCCTGCTGAAAGGTGAATTTGTCTCCCAGTGTCTGTTGGAAAGCAGACTGAACCAGGTTTTCCTCTAGGATTTTGCCTGTGCTTAGCTCTACTCTGTTTCTTTTTATCCCAAAAAAGTCACTAGTCCTTGCCAATGACAAGCATACCCATAACATGATGCAGCCACCACCTATCACAGCTCACAAGAAGACCCAGATGCAGACAGTTTCGAAGTAACAAAAGTTTATTACAAAAACGGGGGCAGGCAAACGACAGGTCAAGGGCAGGCAGAGGTCAGTAATCCAGAACAGAGTACAAAAAGTACAGAATGGCAGGCAGGCTCAGGGGCAGGCAGAGGTCAGTAATCCAAGGCAGTGTCACAAGGTACAGAACGGCAGGAAGGCTCAGGGTCAGGGCAGGCAGAATGGTCAAAACCGGGAAAACTAGAAAACAAGAACTAGAGAAAAACAGGAGTACGGGAAAAACGCTGGTAGGCTTGACGAGACAAAACAAACTGGCAACAGACAAACAGAGAACACAGGTATAAATACACTGGGGATAATGGGTAGATGGGCGACACCTGGAGGGGAGTAGAGACAAGCACAAAGACAGGTGAAATAGATCAGGGTGTGACCTTGACTAACTGGTGCCCCGCACATTGACTCTGTACCGGTACCCCCTGTATATAGCCTCCCTACTGTTATTTTATTTAATGCTACTTTTTAATTATTTGCTATTTTTTATTTTCTTAAAAACTGCATTTTTGGTTAAGGGCTTGTAAGTAAGCATTTCACTGTAAGGTCTACACCTGTTGTATTCGGCACATGTGGCAAATAAAATTTGACACCACCATGCTTGAAAGTATGAAGAGTGGTACTCAGTGATGTGTTGTGTTGGATTTGCCCCAAACATTACGCTTTGTATTCAGGACATAAAGTTCATTTCTTTGCCACATTACTTAATTGCCTTGTTACTGCTCTGTCCTCCAGGTGGCTACCACAGCACAGACACGCCCACCCCACGAGGCGAGATCCTGATTGGCGGGCCCAACGTTACCATGGGTTACTACAAGAATGAGGCCAAGAACCAGGACTTCTTTGTGGATGACAACGGCCAGCGCTGGTTCTGTACTGGAGACATAGGAGAAGTCCATCCTGATGGATGCCTCAAGATCATTGGTGAGGAGCAGGGCTAACACCTCTTCTGAATGGCCTCATTCTCGGTTTCTACTCTATTCCAAAGTGTTCCCTTTCACCATGGTTATGCACCCAAGTTCATATTTGCTAAGATACACATTTACATTTGGGCATGTCCATCAAAGGAGGCTGGTGGGAGGAGCTATAGGATGACGGGCTCATTGTAATGGTTGATGACGGGCTCCTGAGTGGCGCAGTGTACTCCTGAGTGGCGCAGTGGTCTAAGGCACTGCATCGCAGTGCTAACTGTGCCACTAGAGATCCTGGTTCGAATCCAGGCTCTGTCGCCGCCGACCGCGACCGGGAGACTCATGGGCGGCGCACAATTGGCCCAGCGTCGTCCAGGGTAGGGGAGGGAATGGCCGGCAGGGATGTAGCTCAGTTGATAGAGCATGGCGTTTGCAACGCCAGGGTTGTGGGTTCGATTCCCACGGGGGGCCAGTATAAAAAAAATATGTATTCACTAACTGTAAGTCGCTCTGGATAAGAGCGTCTGCTAAATGACTAAAATGTAAATGTTGAAATGAAATCTATGGAGTGGAGTCAAATACGTTGTTTCCATGTGTTTGATGTGTTTGGTACCATTCCACTGATTGCATTCCAGCCATGACAACGAGCCTGTCATCCTATATCTCCTCCCACCAGCCTCCTCTGATGTCTATATAGAGTAGTATGTAAAAAGAAAAATCCCTGATACCACCTACGCCAGCACACCACATCAACATCATGCCCAAACCCACTGAATCCCTTCTAAACAACCTATGCCCCTACGTTCATCTATCAGTCTAGCAGGGCAGCTCCCAAGAACAACTGTTTCCCAATTCCACCTCACTTCTGACAATTCCTCTTGAGCCGTGTTTACATTAGACTGACAGAAATCCTACGGTTCTCTGTTGTCTACATCTGTCTGTAAAGATTTGCAGTGCAGTGGAAAATGTGCTGTTTCTCCTCCAGTTCTACTCAGTGTGTCCCTGTGTCTACAGATCGTAAGAAGGACCTGGTTAAGCTCCAGGCTGGAGAGTATGTGTCTCTGGGGAAGGTGGAGGCCATGCTGAAGAACTGCCCCCTTATAGACAACATCTGTGCCTACGCCAACAGGTGTGTGTGTGTGTGCGTGTTTTTGTTTAACTATCCTTGTGGCAGTTTAGGTTGCTGAAAGGAGCGATTGTAATGGCATCAAACCATGTGTTTGATGTATTTGATACCATTCCACTAATTCCGCTCCAGCCATTACCACCAGCCCGTCCTGCCCAATTAAGGTGCCACCAACCTCCTGTGCCTTGTGGGTACCAGAAGTCCTCAAGGATAGTAAAAGAAGGACAATTCGGGCAAGTGGGGACATTTTGCCGCTTCCCACAAGAAAAACTGCTATTTTAGGCTTAGGAGTTAGGTTTAGGGTTAGGGTTACAATTAGGGTTAGATTTAGGGTTAGGGAAAATAGGATTTTGGATGGTGTGACGAGGTGTGAATGAAGGAGTCAGGCGAAGGAGGTAAAATACCGAAGTCCAGAGTTTATTCCGTTTACATAAATAAAACGCCCAAAGCGTCAAACGACACTGTACAAGGGAAAACATCCACCTTGGCATAAACACAGTGAATAGTAGCTCAACCGAGCAACACGCTCTCACAACAAACAATCACTCACAAAGACAAGGAGAACAGAGGGAACACTTATACACATACTAATTAGGGGAATGAGCACCAGGTGTGTGTGATTGACAAGACATGACAAGTGGAGTGATGAGAATGGGATCAGCAGTAGCTAGTACTCCGGTGACGACGAATGCCGAAGCCTGCCCGAACCAGGAGGGGGGGCAGCCTCGGCGGAAGTCGTGACAGTACCCCCCCCCCCCCCCTCCTCCTCAGGATGTCATCGATGTAGACCACCACACCGCGACCAAGCATGTCCCGAAACACCTCGTTCACAAAGGACTGGAAAACGGATGGAGCATTCATCAAACTGTAGGGCATCACCAGGTATTCATAATACCCCGAGGTTGTGCTGAATGCTGTTTTCCACTCATCCCCTTACCGAATACGCACCAGGTTGTAGGCACTCCTGAGGTCTAATTTGGTGGAAAAGCGGGCCCCATGCATTGACTCAATCACTGAAGGAATGAGGGGAAGAGGATAACTAAATCGTACCGTCACATAATTCAGTGGTCGATAATCAATGCACGGGTGTAAACCGCCATCTTTCTTCTTCACAAAGAAGAAACTCGAGGAGGCAGGTGAAGTGGAGGGACGTATATACCCCTGGCACAGGGACTCGTGACATATGTTTCCATCGCCTCCGTTTCAGCCTGCGACAGGGGATACACATGACTCCTGGGAGGTACAGCGTCTACCCGAAGGTTTATCGCGCAATCCCCCTCCCGATGAGGTGGTAATTTAGTCGCTTGCGTCTTGGAAAACGTGAGCGCCAGATCATGGTATCCAGGGGGAATGCGCACGGTGGGGGTACTGTCTGGACTTTCCACCGTGGTCGCACCAACGGAAACACCTAGACACCTACCCGGACACTCACGCGACCACCCTGTAAGAACCCTCTGCGGCAATGAGAAATTGGGGTTGTGAAGGGCTAACCACGGGATACCCAAGACTACAGGGTAAGCAGGAGACTCAATAATCATAAAGGTGATCTGCTCAACATGCGTCTCCTGCGTAATCATGGTGACTGGTACCGTAACTTCCTTAACCAACCCGGACCCTAATGGTCGACTATCAAGTGCTCTGATGGGGAGTGGAATGGTTAGGGGAACCAATGAAATGCCTTGACGGCGTGCAAATGCCCTGTCCATAAAATACCCAGCTGCGCCTGAATCGACTAGCGCCTTACACTGGGAACCTACCAAGTGATCGGGAAAGGAGATAGATAAAGTACAGTGCGCCGCAAAGGGCTCTGAACACGTTTGGGTGTTCGTTACCTGGGGTGATGCGTGAGTACCCTGCCTACCGCCTCCAGACCCAAAAGAACGTTGACTGCAACGTGAGGTGGATTGTCCCTTCGTGCCACCAGAGTGGCACTGTCGCTGTCCTCCTGCGCTCTCTCGACCGGCGGCTCCCCCCAGCTCTATCTGCTCGGGGTCAGAGTCGTCCGGAGTGGTAACGGGCAGACCCCTACCAGGACGTCCTCTGGCTGCTAGCAGATTGTCCAGCTGGATGGCCATGTCCACCAGTTGGGAGAACGATAGCATGGCATCCCGGCAGGCTAGCTCCCGTCGGACGTCCTCCCTTTGATGGCAATGGAAATGGTCGATCAGGGCCCGCTCGTTCCACCCGGACCACGCTGCCAGCATCCGGAACTCCAGCGCGTAGTCCTGAGCGGTCCTCGTCCTCTGCCTCAGATGAACCAGTCGTTCGCCTGCCTCTCGACCCTCAGGCGGGTGATCAAAAACGGCCCGAAAGAGGCGAGCAAACTCTCCGTAGTCCTCCAATGCGGTACCTTCCTCGTTCCACACCGCGTTGGCCCACTCCAGGGCTCTCCCACAAAGGCAGGAAACGAGGACGGATACCTTCTCCCGCTCCCGGGGCGCCGGCCTGATGCTGGAGAAATACAACTCCAGTTGGAGTAGGAATCCCTTACATCACGCTGCCGTCCCATCAAACGCCGATGGCCGGGATATCTGGATCCCTCCAGGGGCTGGGGTGTAGGTGGCTGGATCCGGTTGACCAGCTGGTCTCGATAGATCGGATCCTCTCCTCTCCAGGCGTTGTACCACCTGAAGAACCCGATCCATCGCTTCCCCCAAGCTGGCCAACATCGAGGAATGCTCCTGGACCCTTGCCACAACTCCAGGCATGCGGTCTTCTCCTGCTGACTTCATATCAGATCAGGTGAGTGATTCTGTGACGAGGTGTGAAAGAAGGAGTCAGGCGCAGGAGGTAAAATACTGAAGTCCAGAGTTTATTCCGTTTACATAAATCAAACACCCAAAGCGTCAAACGACACTATTACAAGGGAAAACATCCACCTTGGTCCTCTGTAGCTCAGCTGGTAGAGCACGGCGCTTGTAACGCCAAGGTAGTGGGTTCGATCCCCGGGACCAACCACACGCAAAAAAAAAATATGCACGCATGACTGTAAATCGCTTTGGATAAAAGCGTCTGCTAAATGGCATATTATTATTATTATTATTATTATAAACACAGTGAATAGTAGCTCAACCGAGCTACACGCTCTCACAACAAACAATCACTCACAAAGACAAGGGGAACAGAGGGAACACTAATACACATACTAATTAGGGGAATGAGCACCAGGTGTGTGTGATTGACAAGACATGACAAGTGGAGTGATGAGAAAGGGATCGGCAGTAGCTAGTACTCCGGTGACGACGAACGCCAAAGCCTGCCCGAACCAGGAGGGGGGGCAGACTTGGCGGAAGCCGTGACAGTTGGGAATCAATTATTTGGTCCCCACAAGGATAGCAATACAAAACTGTGTGTGTGTGTGTGTGTGTGTGTGTGTGTGTGTGTGTGTGTGTGTGTGTGTGTGTGTGTGTGTGTGTGTGTGTGTGTGTGTGTGTGAATCAGTCTATGTAAAAAAACGGAGACATGGTGGTGTCTTCTTAACCGTTATCTCTCTTCAGCGATGAGATGTACGTGATTGGCTTTGTGGTGCCCAATCAGAAGCATCTGCTTTCGCTAGCGGAGCAGTATCGTATCCGGGGCTCATGGGAGGAGCTGTGTAACAACGCTGCCATGGAGGAGGTAGTCCTGCAGGTCATCACCGAGGCCGCCCTATCAGGTGAGAGGTCAAAGGTCATCAGACCTTGGAGAGAGAGGAGAGCGATGTTATAGAAAGATGGTAGTGGTAGTAGTAGATACAGGTTATAGTGAGTCAGGTTGAAGCTCTACTTTTGTCATCCATTCCTTTTGGTGGTGCTTTGGTTTCATATCTGACTGGAATTATGATGCATTTCCTCTTCTTGTCTGTCTGTGCAGCCCAGCTGGAGCGGTTTGAGATCCCCCGTAAGATCCGTCTGAGCCCTGACCCCTGGACCCCCGAGACGGGCCTGGTGACCGAAGCCTTCAAGCTCAAACGCCAGCAGCTGAAGAGCAAGTACCAGGACGACATCGAGAGAATGTACGGTGGGAAGTAGGACCAGACCAGACCAGACCAGAACCTCTCCAAGCACAGAGCCGCTCAGCTCCTATCCCCACCCGACCCCCATCCCGACCCTCATCCCGGACCAGCCCCCAGAAGCACTGAAATTACTTGAATCTACTTTGTTCTCCTGAGACCAAAAAGATGGACAGAGATAGAGAGAGAGACAGATTGAGAGAGATAGAGGGAGAAAAATATAAATATCAAAGAGAGGAGGCTGTGTTGTTGCAATATTCCCCCTCTACTGTTCCTTTATTCGATAAAATGGCTTTGCTTAAAAATTCAAATCAATAGACAATAGCCTAGCCCTGAAGACTGTTGAAGAGAAGTATTAGTTAGGTGAGAGTAAGTAACGGGTGTTGTTGGAACACCCTAAAACAGTATCTCCATGTTCATTCCACTCCTTGCCCATGTTCATTCCACTTCTTACCCTCTTTGGAGATGATTTTCCTCCAGATGTGAGTTATGAGACAGGACAGGTAGGTCATGTTCACTGTTGAGCTCATGTCTGTCTGAGTGTTGTCGACCGTTATTGAAGCACAAGCTCAGGTTGGTTGGAAAAGGTTCTGATTTAACCCCAATGCCCTTCTGTCTGAGGGTGTCAGGAATGCTAAGCCATGAGAGCCTGTAGAGATCAAGTACCATTAACATTTTGGTTAAAATCTGTATAGATTTTATTTTCTCCTTTAATTCTGCGATTCTGTCCACGTTAGTCCACATTGGCTGATTCTCTGTCCAAGTTCCAAATCCAGGGCTGCTCACTGGCTAATTCTCAGCCATATTCCTGAATCCAGGTTTTTCCATTGCTTATTCTCTGGTTTATTTCAGAACCTAGTTCTGCCCGGAGACTAGTCTTACTTCCTGCAGGACAGGAATAAACTAGCTGTTGGTGTTTATTTTTGTTGTGTTTGGTTGATGCTGTTTTTTCTGCTTAGTGAGGCTTTAGCACTGTGATTTCTATTAGATTCCCATCTGCCCATCTGATCCTACAAGCACGAAGTCAACAGGAGGTTCAGAGAGACTAAGATAAGATAATTACTTTATTATCCCCATGGGGAAATGTGGGTTTCAGCTAGGGCAGTGAAATGTTGTCTCTGCCCCTAGAAGAAAAACTGAACATTTGGAGGTGAGTGTATTTCTTTCAGAACTCTTCCCTTGACGTTTCTATCATTCATATTATTGTTATTATTTATGATAATGCCAATTAATAATACTCTTGTCATGAACTCATAAAGTTTGTAAGAAAGATGTAGATTGGTGAATACCATTTTGTGGTAGAAAACATATTCGTACTCTGTTATAGGTGTGCACTTACATGAACCACACATTCACGTGCTAATGTAAGAGCTGTCGTTCTAGAATCACTGTCATGCTTGAAGTGAACAGTGTGCAATATGATAATATAACATTTGGACCAAACTAGGGTAGGATTACTTGGCCGATGGCAAGAAGAGATGCACACAAAACACTCACACAAAACAGTTCCGTACAAGAATTTTGATAATTTAGTTAAGAGCACAGCTTCAGCATTTATGTGTGTGTGTGTGTGCGTGCGCATGCATGCGGTGTTCTCGCACTTGAAAAGGCCATTCCTTGTATGTTGTTGTATGTGATACACCACAGCAAAAGATGGCCTTGAGCTTTCCTAAATGGTCCAAACATGGCTCTGTAGAACATCATTCCACACATGACACATGTTGCCTTTTCTTGGGATTTCAAGTGGATAACTACGCATAGGAAATATTTTAATAACAATGCTGTACACAGTGATGTAAGATATCGTTTCTTGACATTATGTGTTACTGTAACCCAGAATAACATGCCTTTCTGATGTTTTCCTGTATACTATACATACAGTATATGAGGGGCAGTGATCACTGGAGAAGGAATTATTATAGCCTCTATTTTAAATCTATTGTAGCTTTATAATATATACCTGTTTTGTTACTCCTCTCCCATTTGTCCGGGGAATCTGCCTTGTAACATAAGTGCATCAATTGTATTTATTTGTAATTTGCCTGGGAAATTATTACATGAAGAAGTAAATAAAGATTGTGTTTGGTCTATCAGTGCTGTCCTGAGTTATTTGAGTGCAAATTGAGAAATTAGGCTGTCTTAAAAATCTGACGTCCATTATGTTGTCCATTACAATTAGACCCATAATAAAGCAGTGATTGGTGACGCACCGTTAGGTGGTTATGATGAGGGATGTAGCTCAGTTGGTAGAGCATGGCGTTTGCAACACCAGGGTTGTGGGTTCGATTCCCACAGGGGGCCAGTATGGAAAACATTTTTTTTTTAAATAATGTATGCACTCACTAACTGTAAGTCGCTCTGGATAAAAGCATCTGCTAAATGACTAAAATGTAAATGTAATGATGACTGCGTGAGAAAGTTCTGTTTGAGCTGTAAGCGAGAACGAAGTATTTGAACTTAATTTATCCAATAAGCTCAAAACGGACCAGGCTAATCAAACTAAACAATCGTGCCCACCATCGTCATTCGTCAAAGCCTACTTATTTGAGGCTCAAATTTCCAAACCCCTCCCGTTAGCACTATCCTAGATAATGTGTTGTTTAAGTGGTTTTATACTCTGTTTAATGATCTGTAATAAGAACATGTAACATGTAGGTGAAGGTGTAGTAATAGCCAACTCAGCACAGATCCACGTCCAATAATACATATACACTACCAGTCAAATGTTTGGACACACCTTTTTATCTAGATTGTAGAATAATAGTGAAGACATCAAAACTATGAAATAACACATATGGAATCATGTAGTAACCAAAAAAGTGTTAAACAAATCAAAATATATTTTATATTTGAGATTCTTCAAATAGTCACCCTTTGCCCCCCCCCCCATAAAAAATTAATAAAGTGGTTGTCCCACTGGCTATCATAAGTTGAATGCACCAATTTGTAAGTTGCTCTGGATAAGAGCGTCTGCTAAATGATGTAAATGTAAATGTAAATGACAGCTTTGCACACTCTTGGCATTCTCTCAACCAGCTTCACCTGGAATGCTTTTCCAACAGTCTTGAAGGACTTCGCACATATGCTGAACACTTGTTGGCTGCTTTTCCTTCACTCTGCGGTCCGACTCATCCCAAACCATCTCAATTGGGTTGAGGTCAAGGGATTGTGGAGGCCATGTCATCTGATGCAGCACTCCATCACTCTCCTTCTTGGTAAAATAGCCCTTTCACAGCCTGGAGGTGTGTTGGGTCATTGTCCTGTTGAAAAATAACTGATAGTCCCACTAAGTCCAAACCAGATGGGGTGGAGTATCACTGTAGAATGCTGTGGTGGCCATGCTGGTTAAGTTTGCCTTGAATTCTAAATACAGTGGGGGGAAAAAGTATTTAGTCAGCCACCAATTGTGCAAGTTCTCCCACTTAAAAAGATGAGAGAGGCCTGTAATTTTCATCATAGGTACACGTCAACTATGACAGACAAATTGAGAAAAAAAATCCAGAAAATCACATTGTAGGATTTTTAATGAATTTATTTGCAAATTATGGTGGAAAATAAGTATTTGGTCACCTACAAACAAGCAAGATTTCTGGCTCTCACAGACCTGTAACTTCTTCTTTAAGAGGCTCCTCTGTCCTCCACTCGTTACCTGTATTAATGGCACCTGTTTGAACTTGTTATCAGTATAAAAGACACCTGTCCACAACCTCAAACAGTCACACTCCAAACTCCACTATGGCCAAGACCAAAGAGCTGTCAAAGGACACCAGAAACAAAATTGTAGACCTGCACCAGGCTGGGAAGACTGAATCTGCAATAGGTAAGCAGCTTGGTTTGAAGAAATCAACTGTGGGAGCAATTATTAGGAAATGGAAGATATACAAGACCACTGATAATCTCCCTCGATCTGGGGCTCCACGCAAGATCTCACCCCGTGGGGTCAAAATGATCACAAGAACGGTGAGCAAAAATCCCAGAACCACACGGGGGGACCTAGTGAATGACCTGCAGAGAGCTGGGACCAAAGTAACAACGCCTACCATCAGTAACACACTACGCCGCCAGGGACTCAAATCCTGCAGTGCCAGACGTGTCCCCCTGCTTAAGCCAGTACATGTCCAGGCCCGTCTGAAGTTTGCTAGAGTGCATTTGGATGATCCAGAAGAGGATTGGGAGAATGTCATATGGTCAGATGAAACCAAAATATAACTTTTTGGTAAAAACTCAACTTGTCGTGTTTGGAGGACAAAGAATGCTGAGTTGCATCCAAAGAACGCCATACCTACTGTGAAGCATGGGGGTGGAAACATCATGCTTTGGGGCTGTTTTTCTGCAAAGGGACCAGGACGACTGATCCGTGTAAAGGAAAGAATGAATGGGGCCATGTATCGTGAGATTTTGAGTGAAAACCTCCTTCCATCAGCAAGGCCATTGAAGATGAAACGTGGCTGGGTCTTTCAGCATGACAATGATCCCAAACACACCGCCCGGGCAACGAAGGAGTGGCTTCGTAAGAATCATTTCAAGGTCCTGGAGTGGCCTAGCCAGTCTCCAGATCTCAACCCCATAGCAAATCTTTGGAGGGAGTTGAAAGTCTGTGTTGCCCAGTGACAGCCCCAAAACATCACTGCTCTAGAGGAGATCTGCATGGAGGAATGGGACAAAATACCAGCAACAGTGTGTGAAAACCTTGTGAAGACTTACAGAAAACGTTTGACCTGTGTCATTACAGGCCTCTCACATCTTTTTAAGTGGGAGAACTTGCACAATTGGTGGCTGACTAAATACTTTTTTTCCCCACTGTAACAAAGTATTGAGAAACTTTTGTTATTGACCAAATACTTATTTTCCACCATAATTTGCAAATAAATTCATTAGAAATCCTACAATGTGATTTTCTGGATTTTTTTCTTCTCAATTTGTCTGTCATAGTTGACGTGTACCTATGATGAAAATTACAGGCCTCTCTCATCTTTTTAAGTGGGAGAACTTGCACAATTGGTGGCTGACTAAATACTTTTTTCCCCCACTGTAAATCACAGACAGTGTCACCAGCAAAGCACCCCCACACCATAACACCTCCTCCTCCTTGCTTTACGGTGGGAATTATTATTATTATTATAAATACACATGCGGAGATCATCCGTTCACTCACACCGCGTCTCACAAAGACACAGTGGTTTGAACCAAAAATCTCAAATTTGGACTCCAGACCAAAGGACAAATTTCCACCGGTGTAATGTCCATTGCTCGTGTTTCTTGGCCCAAGCAGGTCTCTTCTTCTTATTGGTGTCCTTTAGTAGTGGTTTCTTTTCAGCAATTCGACCATGAAGGCCTGATTCACACAGTCCCCTCTGAACAGTTGATGTTGAGATGTGTCTGTTACTTGAACTCTGTGAAGCATTTATTTAGGCGGCAATTTCTGAGGCTGGTAACTCTAATGACCTTATCCTCTGCAGCAGAGGTAACTCTTGGTCTTCCATTGCTGTGGTGGTCCTCATGAGAGCCAGTTTCATCATAGCGCTTGATGGATTTTGCGACTGCACTTGAAGAAACGTTCAAAGTTCTTGAAATTTTCCGTATTGACTGACCTTGACTGACCATGTCTTAAAGTAATGATGGACTGTCGTTTCTCTTTGCTTATTTGAGCTGTTCTTGCAATAATATGGACTTGGTCTTTTACCAAATAGGGCTATCTTCTGTTAACACACAACTGATTGGCTCAAACGCATTAAGAAGGAAAGAAATTCCACAAATTAACTTTTAAGAAGGCACACCTGTTAATTGAAATGCATTCCAGGTGACAACCTCATGAAGCTGGTTGAGAGAATGCCAAGAGTGTGCATAGCTGTCATCAAGGCAAAGGGTGGCCATTTGAAGAATCTCAAATATAAAATATATTTTGATTTGTTTAACACTTTTTTGGTTACTACATGATTCCATATGTGTTATTTCATAGTTTTGATGTCTTCACTATTATTCTACAATGTAGATAATAGTAAAAAATAAATAAATAAAAAACTGGAATGAGTAGGTGTGTCCAAACTTTTGACTGGTACTGTATGTGCAGTTGAAATTTGGCCATAGAATCAATGACCAAAAAAGTATTTTCACATTTCTTCCAGAAACGAAAATTTACCTGATTTCAATGTCTGGGAAATATGTATTTTCAATGTCCGGGAGGTGCAATATTGGGAGGTGTAATATTGAAATGACAGGATTTGTGTGCAAGAGTTGAATCATTGCTCACCCAAAAACTCACATGAATACATGTCGATGGAAGATTATTTTGCATCAATTCTATAAACAGCTGTTAAATATTGTATTTGATCAGAAAAGGAAAAGTCAGTTTAGTAACTTGACAGAATTGGAACATAGCGTTCTAATTAAGCAATAAGGCCCAGGGGGGTGTGGTATATGGCCAATATACCAAGGCTAAGGTCTGTTCTTAAGCACAACACAACGCAGAGTGCCTGGATACAGCCCTTAGACATGGTATATTGGCCATATACCACAAACCCCCCGAGGTGCCTTATTGCTATTATAAACTGGTTACCAACGTAATTAGAGCAGTACAAATAAATGCTTTGTCATACCCATGGTATATGGTCTGAAATACCATGGCTGTCAGCCAATCAGGATTCAGGGCTCGAACCACCCAGTTTATAAAAATCTGTTAACCACTTTTTGTCACATTTGTGTCTGGGCTGTGTCCACTCGACATTTGAAACTGGGCCAAAACGTGCCTCTCGACCACAGAGTCCACGTGATTGGTGACATCCCAAGGTCGCTATATAAATATTCCCATGCACTTGGATATCCTGTTAAATTCGAGAGGCGCACACACCCACGAGGACACGGATCATACAGCTGGGTCCACATGTTCCACAGCTCTGTTGCTCGGTAAGTTGGATAAGTAGTGTATCAATAGTAAAAATAGGCTTTAGCCATTGTTCACTAAGTTATGTCTTATAAAAAAAATATCTGGCTAAATAGGCATACTTTTATACGATTAATAAAATAATTCCTATAGCCTGCAATTGAGGAATGGTGTGCTTAAACGTGTGCTTAAATGTGTGCGTGTGCGTAAAAGTGTGGGTAAAGAATCAAGATCATAACCTCTGTACATTTTTTTATTTTTAAAGGAAACTTTTCAGTCCACTTCATAAAATCCACTGAGGATGGAGAGGTCAGACAACTTCACAACGCCCCAAGTTCTTCCCCTGCAGAGGGCTAATGACGCGTCCCAAATTGACAAAAGCAATGGCAACGCATACGTGTACATTTTCATAGTAATCTCCTTCTATGGGGTCTTCCTCGTTGGTATAATGCTGGGCTACGTTCGCTCCAAAAGGCGGGAGAAGAGAAGGTCGAACGTGTTTACGCGCCTGGTGCACGAGGAGGAGCAGCGGGAATGGGGCGCGCTGCAAAAGAAGAACAGCATCACCATGCCCTCCTTCCAGGTGTCGCTTCCCTTCTCCACCGGGAACCAGGACCTCTATGAAGGAAGGGTCCTGAGCTCCCCTCTGGCCTGCGCCCTGTGCTCTATTGAGCAAAGCAGCGTCAGTTCACTGTGCTCCTCCGCCGACGTGCGCTTCGCAATCGAGGAGGAGTCGGACAGCGGGACGGCGGTGGGGCCGGACGAAACCCTGAAGGGCAGCTCTAATTACAACAGCGACGACTCGGCCGAGATACAGATACTCGGAGAGAAACGGTGACGCTCAGAACAGATGATGAGAGTGGAAATAAACGCAAAAAAACTGTACTTTCCATCCCTCTACGTCATATAGGAAATAAGTGGAGAAAGGAATGACTGGTAAAGAAAGTGCTCTCTAACCATCCGGTTCTGAGCATTGAAACGTACCTGGAACCCACTTGAAATATATTTTCTGAAACGAAACCCTCTTAAGACGTAGCCTAATGATTTCACTGTGCAGTGTTCATAATGTCTATGTAGGTTTACTTGGGGTTGTTGTGTAAATTGAAGAGAAAAAAGAATGCTCTGTTTAAGATATATGGTTCTTCTCTACTCTTCTGAGGCATAATGTTGGAATAAATGTTTCTATGTTGAAAAAAGTGTATCCTCTCTTTTTTAAATCAAAGGGAGGTTGCAATATGTAGTTTTTCTCCAGAAGGGGGCAGTGCTGCAGTAGTTTTACACCACATGTTGCTGAGGCACACCAGTGATTTCATTAGAATCAGCATTTACATGTTAGTAATTTAGCAGACGCTCTTATCCAGAGTGACTTACAGGAGCAAGCGGGTTAAGTGCCTTGTTCAAGGGCACATCGACAGATTTTTCACCTAGTCGGCACAGGGATTCTAACCAGTGCCCTTTCGGTTACTGGCCCAACCACTAAGCTACCTGCCGCCCCCATCCTGTCCTTGCATTGTTTTGTTCTGAAGTGTTGACATACTAATTGATCAAATTAGAAGCCATATTTTCAGGCAGTTAGCTGATTATTGATTTTGACTTATTTACATTTATGTCATTTAGCAGACACTCTTATCCAGAGCCACTGAAAGGAGCAATCAGGGTGAAGTGCCTTGCTCAAGGGCACATCGGCAGATTTTTCCCCTAGTCGGCTCGGAGATTCGAACCAGTAACGTATATCTGACAAGTCATCATACGGTAAGGCTAGGCCAAACCATCCCACCCACTGGAGACCTTCCCATCCGATAGGAATCCTGGGAATCGAGCCCGGAGAATGATGTGATTTCTCCTCATCGCAATGACGACAACGCTACTACAGCCCATCCCCCTCCCAAGCTCCCAAGCTCCCACCCACCCAAAACCTTACCATATCAGCCCCGCTTCAGGCCATAATGCACACAAATCACTCCATTGACAACATGCCAAACCAAAGTTAGGTAGAACAATAGCGTGAAAGAAAATGAATGTATTTTTTGAAGCTATTTAGAATGTAATGGCCCCTGTCTGGGTCTTAGTCAATAAGGAGTCTTATCTTTCTCAAGCAATAAGCTCTGTGTGTGTGTGTGTGTGTGTGTGTGTGCGGTCACAGGAGTTGTCCCTTCCTCTCCCCTCCTCTCTATTTTTCTCTCTTCATCGCTCTCTCTCTGTCTCTCCCTCTCTCCCTCTGTCTCTCTCAATTCAATTCAATTCAATTTAAGGGCTTTATTGGCATGGGAAACGTATGTTAACATTGCCAAAGCAAGTGAAGTAGATAGTACATTTAAAAAAAATAAACAATAAATATTAACAGTAAACATTACACTCAGAAGTTCCAAAAGAACAAAGACATTTCAAATGTCATATTATGTATATATACAGTGTTGTAACAATGTGCAAATAGTTAAAGTACAAATGGGAAAATAAATAAACATAAATGTGGGTTGTATTTACATTGGTGTTTGTTCTTTTCTTGTGGCAACAGGTCACAAATCTTGCAGCTGTGATGGCACACTGTGGTTTTTCACCCAGTAGATAAGGGAGTTTATCAAAATTGGGTTTGTTTTCGAATTCTTTGTGGATCTGTGGGAAATATGTGTCTCTAATATGGTCATACATTTGGCAGGAGGTTAGGAAGTGCAGCTCAGTTTCCACCTCATTTTGTGGGCAGTGTGCACATAGCCTGTCTTCTCTTGAGAGCCAAGTCTGCCTACGGCTGCCTTTCTCAATAGCAAGGCTATGCTCACTGAGTCTGTACATAGTCAAAGCTTTCCTTAAGTTTGGGTCAGTCACAGTGGTCAGGTATTCTGCCACTGTGTACTCTCTGTTTAGGGCCAAATAGCATTCTAGTTTACTGTGTTTTTTTGTTTGTTCTTTCCAATGTGTGAAGTAATTCTCTTTTTGTTTTCTCATGATTTGGTTGGGTCTACATTTTACATTTTACATTTTAGTCATTTAGCAGACGCTCTTATCCAGAGCGACTTACAGTTAGTATATTTTTCATACCCCCTTGGGAATCAAACCCACAACCCTGGCGTTGCAAACGCCATGCTCTACCAACTGAGCTACATCCCTGCCGGCCATTCCCTCCCCTACCCTGGACGACGCTGGGCCAATTGTGCGCCGCCCCATGGGTCTCCCGGTCGCGGCCGGCTACGACAGAGCCTGGATTCGAACCAGGATCTCTAGTGGCACAGCTAGCACTGCGATGCAGCGCCTTAGACCACTGTGCCACTCTAATTGTGTTGTTGTTGTTGTTGTTGTCCTGGGGCTCTGTGGGGTCTGTTTGTGTTTGTGAACAGAGCCCCAGGACCAGCTTACTTAGGGGACTCTTCTCCAAGTTCATCTCTCTGTAGGTGACGGCTTTGTTATGGAAGGTTTGGGAATCGTTTCCTTTTAAGTGGTTATAGAATTTAACGGCTATTTTCTGGATTTTTATAATTAGTGGGCATTGGCCTAATTCTCTCTCTCTCTCTCTCTCTCTCTCTCTCTCTCTCTCCTCTCCTCTCTCTCTCTCTCTCTCTCTCTCTCTCTCCTCTTCTCTCCTCTCTCTCTCCTCTCTCTCTCTCTCTCTCTCTACTCTCTCACATCTCTCGCCTTCCTCTCCTCTCTCTCTCTCGGCTCCGTCCTTCTCCACATCACCCACTTCTCTCTCTCGTCCCTCCTCTCGTCTCTTGACTCTCCTCTCTCTCTCTCTCTCTCCTCGTTAAGTTGGCATAGAGACAATCACAAAAACTAGTTGAGGCATACTAAATCCTATTTCCTGAGCACCTTAAACATAACTGAATTATTCATGTGAAATAGTTAAATTTGGGGTACAATTCATACATTATACACAAGAAAATTGAGGCAGGGTTAATGCTGTTGTCTACCTCATGCTATTCCACTAATGATTGATAGTGTAGACACATCAGTGTGCACCATAAAGTGGAACTACAGCTGTAGGAATGTTTGGGTTCATGTAGTAGATGTATTTTTAATAAGGGACAACCAGAGAGATCGGGTTGGTGAAAGAAAGAACCGGACATCGAAGTGGAACTATACTGAACAAAAATATAGTTTACCGCGCTCACTGCTTGTAGTTCATTTTATATACTGAACAAAAATATAAACGCAACATGCAACAATTTCAAAGATTTTACTGAGTTATAGTTCATATAAGGAAATCAGTCAATTGAAATAAATTAATGACACCCTAATCTATGGATTTCACATGACTGGGAATACAGATATGCATCTGTTGGTCACAGATACCTTTAAAGAAAAGGTAAGGGCGTGGATCAGAAAACCAGTCAGTATCTGGTGTGACCACCATTTGCCTCATGCAGCGCGACATATCTCCTTCGCATAGAGGTGATCAGGCTGTTGATTGTGGCCTGTGGAATGTTGTCCCACTCCTCTTCAATGGCTGTGCAAAGTTGCTGGATATTGTCGGGAACTGGAACACGCTGACGTACATGTTGATCCAGAGGATCCTAAACATGCTCAATGGGTGACATTTGGTGAGTATGCAGGCCATGGAAGAACTGGGACATTTTCAGCTTCCAGGAATTGTGTACAGATCCTTGCCACATGGGGCTGTGCATTATCATGCTGAAACCTGAGGTGATGGCGGCGGATAAATGGCACGACAATGGGCCTCAGGATCTTGTCACGGTATCTCTGTGCATTAAAATTTCCATAGATAAAATGCAATTGTGTTCGTTTTCCGTAGCTTATGCCTGCCCATACCATGACCCCGCCGCCACCATTGACATCAGCAAACCGCTCACCCACACAACGCCATACACGTGGTCTGCGGTTTTGAGGCCGGTTGGACGTACCGCCAAATTCTCTAAAACGACGTTGAAGGCGGCTTATGGTGGAGAAATTTACATTTAATTCTCTGGCAACAGCTCTGGTGGACATTCCTACAGTCAGCATGCCAATTGCGTGCTCCCTCAAAACTTGAGAAATCTGTAGCATTGTTATGTGACAAAACTGCACATTTTAGAGTGGCCTTTTATTGTCCCCAACACAAGGTGCACCTGTGTAATGATCATGCTGTTTAATCAGCTTATTGATATGACACACCTGTCAGGTGGATGGATTATCTTGGCTAAGGAGAAATGCTCACTAACAGGGATGTAAACAAATTTGTGCACAACATTTTTGAGAAATAAGCTTTTTGTGTGTGTGGAACATTTCTGGGATATTTTATTTCAGCTCATTAAACATGGGACCAACACTTTACATGTTGCGTTTATATTTTTGTTCAGTGTAGAAGCTGCAGTGTGTGAAATGGAAAGAATGATAGCCAGTGAGAAAAAGATAGAAAGAGAGAAAGAGAGATAGAAAGAGACTAAAACAATAGAGAGAAGGAGAGAAAGAGAAAGAGGAGAGAGAGGGAGGAAGAGCGAGAGAGAACGAGAGGGAGAGAGACAATGCGTAGCAGCTTGATACAACAGGATGTGTCTAAATAGCCTTCTCCACCACTGGGAGCTGAGGCGGTTGAGTTCTGCCTGCGTCCTCCTGCGTCCTCCTGCATCCTGCCCCACATATAAACAATGAATGAAGGCTAAATGAGTCATTGACTCTGGATCCTTTCACTCCTTCATTCTCTGTCTGTTGTTCTTTTAGTCACTCAACATCTTCACTCAGTAAAATAAGGGTTAAATACAAACCAGTAGGGGTAATTATGAGTCAAACTATTGACACAGTGCTAGATCTGTTGTGAGTCACAGTTTTTTCCATCATTGGCCAATACATTTGTTGACTGTTATTGTGGTTATTTCTTTCCGGCAACACAGAGTCCCCTCCCTCAGAGTT